CAAATGTTTATGTACACTCCTAACTTTGATTCCATGACTTTTCTAAACTTTGATGTCTACCTTGTTTGAATTCTCTTGATGTTTAGAGTTGATTGTTGACATGATAATATGAATGCTTGTTTTTCCATGAACCTAACGTGTTTGTTTATATATCCATGTTATCCATGATTGGATGTTTTGTCAAAGTATGTTTCTATCTCCTATCTTTTGTCTCAATTTTTACTTGATAAACATGTTGATATTCCCTTGATCTTAAATATATTTGATGACCCATCTTTGTTTGTCTTGACATGAAATCTTGTGTTTAGTACTTGTTCATATTTGATTTAACATTTTTCTTAAATAAATCTCCTAAAATCCATGTTAATTTGTGATCTTATCATCTCCTTTGTTCCATGTGTGATTACTCTTTATTTTCCTAATGATCCTAACCCCCACGTGTTAGTAATTAATGTTTATATCTTGTTATGTTAACACTTGTGTTCAAAATCCAAGGAAAGGGATAACATTGTTGACTTTATAGTCATGTGCATATGGATTGTCTTAGGTTTACCCTTATATGTTTATCTTTGTGTGTTTCCCTTATAATTGTTGGTGTGTACCCTTTTTTGTACTTAAACCCTGATTCTCAACCTATCACAACTTTCAATTAAAAACCTTAACTTTATGTCATTGAATTTTAAACTTTCTTTCTTTAATAAATGCTTTAATACATTAAGCATATTAAACAATTTCAAAAAATTAAAAGATATTCAACCTCACCCAAATATTTTTGCCACTTTGGTTTTTCAATTTAAAAACTTTTCTCAAAGATTAGACATAAGTCATTTTTATAGTTGAGATGTAATTCTCATATTCTCATAGTAATGAATGAAGTAAATGTTGATTCTTTCCACTTGAGAGAGCTAGTGGCAACTTATTGATCTTATATCCAATTTAAGAGTCATTCCTTCATGATGATGCAAGATCCAACTTCTCATACTTGTGGTGGTATTAGTTAAGTATTCTCCTTAAGATAACAATTTGTCTCTTCTCCTAAAATTAATCACAACAAACCCTTTTGTTATTTTTACTACGAACTATGAGGTTTTAATCCTTCATTGGTACGTAAGTATAAGACTTTGTCTTTCTAAACAAAAATATAATAAAATATATTTCTTTTTCCATCTCCACACTCATTAGAAAATAACCAATTTTAACACAAAAAATAAAGATATTACAAAAGGTTCATATAGAGTACTGTAGATACATATGGTGCTAATACATTCCCTTTGTATAAACTCCTTGTACCTTAGATCTCTTCTTTATGATTTGATTTTAGTTGTACTTCTTGTATTGCATGTTTAATATAGGGTTTTGATCTTTTCTCTTTCCTTGTAAATAATAAAGTTCAGTGGTGACTTTTTAAAATTTTATGATTCAAGTTAGTCAATAGCTTGGTCTCCCAATTTTTCACTGCGACAACACCCCAACAAAAAATTATTATGTGTAGTTTGTTAACGTGTATGAATAAGTTGGAGGTTGAATATGAATAGCAATGGTGGTAAGTGTTTATAGTTTCATCAAGTTGAAATGATGCATGTATGATGTATTTATAGTTGTGGAAATCTGGTAGTAAAAAGGGAAATTTCGGAATTAAAACAATTGAGAAAATTTGACCAAAGAAACACGATATGTCGGCCTGAAACACGGATGTGCCGTCACATAGGTTTAAAAACTTCAGCATGTGCCGAAATGAAATGAGTCATGTGCCGACACATGCGTAATAGAAGCTACGGGCTTTAATACTACAACACATGTGTCGGCCTGAAAATTGTATATGCTGGAACATACTGTTATTTTTTATTATGTGTCGACTTCAAATAGGCTATATATTGACCTATGCAAGACAAAGGCTACAACCTTTAATAACACAGTACATGTGTCAGCCTGAAAAGTAGATGTGCCGGCACATGCTGTTGATTTTTGTGCAGAAAATAATTTTTCATATTTTTGGCCAATTTTAAACTTATTTTGAATGCTTCCTAAGACCTCTAATACAAGAGTGCACCGAACGACACAAAGATACCATCCAATATACATAAATGTCAAGTTTTCCTAGTTTTGACATCATGCAAAATATCTACTAGTGAAGTTGCACTCACAATTAAAACTTGACCACAAACTTATATGATATGGGGAATATTCTATTATTAAAGGGATTTCACAATCCCCACCCTAAAATGAAAATAATTTAGGGAATTTCTTAATGCACCATATACTTCTCTAGCGCACCGTGCAAAAATACAATAATCCCCCTATGTTCCAGAGATGTAGTTACAGACGCACCAAACGTTTACTGATGTGAGTTTTATTCCAAAGATGTAAATTCGTAAAACTTTTGGAGATGTATTTATGGAGTGTTACGAAGTAGAAGCAGAAAAATATAATAAAAAAATAGCATGCCGACAAAATAAAACTACCATGGATATCATAAAATCAGCAATACATAAGGGACTTTAACACATACCTAACATTACATTTTAATATTCATGTGGATATTGCAACATCTTCATAGTATTATCGACCGATCTCGAACCAGTCGCATCCAACTCGATCAGAACTTTTGATTTTAAACGGAAAAAGTTATCTACATAGCCCTTAAGTCAGTGGTTGCCTTCAGTTCATAGTTGTTGAACTCAATCTTCCCTTCTTTGTCAATAAATGGAGAGCGATACTCGATCTTCACAATTTTGTGGTTGTCGCCATATGGTAGAAGCTCTTGCAGTGTGTATTATAGATCTTTAAGAGGGGTGTACTCAGTGATCTTAAATTCTCTTGAGGGTGTCACACCGTTAAAGTGAATATTTTCAACATATCAAATGATGTTCATTATGGTGTAATGTGTTTTGATATGAAACAAAATGACAAGTGTCCTATATTTATAGTAGTTGTAGACTAATATTGACCTCAGAAATTATATCTTGTACCAGGACACGTTCCATAAATCCATCTCTAATATCACCTTTTATTTTGGAGATGTATTTTCGGAACCTTCCTTAACAGAACAAAATAAAACAGAACATGTAGCAAAAAAATTGACAAAATTCAAATGGTATATATTAGACATCATAACAAATTAATACAATATCACTTACAATAATTTGATAAATAAATATTAAAATGAACCGAATGGTTAAATCTATAACTATTGATGTTATGACTTTTATTTATTTATATCTCTTTCAATCTTGCTCAATTTGGTGAACTCTTATATCCTTTAAACAAACTGGTCTGATTAAGTATCGACTATGATTGTTGATTGAGTTGTCCACTCCAGTGATGTAAGTGCTCAGTTTGATTTTTATGGAGATGCATCTCTGGAATAATCTGATATACAAAGGTTACTGATTTCTAAATTCCAGCTTTAAATGTTCGGAGATACATCTCCGAATAACTCCCTTAGTGGTCAATTGACAGTTTATTTGATATTATATCACAGAGATATATCTCTTAAAAAACTTTAAATTTATCTATAGAATGAAACTATTTTTACTCGTTAACGTGTGATTAAAAAAATACATTCGAAAATATAATTTTAAAAACACAAGGGACATTTATAATTTCTCATGAGGTTATTTTCCACCTTATAGAGTGGATTAAGATATTTCTATATTTATCTGAGAAAAAAAAATCATTTTGGTAAGATAGATTGAAAAAGTCTAGTAAAGAGCCTCCATTTAAATTAGCCCACAAGAGAAAACTATACAAAATTAAAAAGGGTCCACAAATTACAAATTTATTTATAAAATATTTTTTTTGATGAAAAATCCCATAAAAGACTAGAAACCCTTTACCTAAATCCCAAAAATCAACATATTAACAAGTATCTTAAAGATGTTAAGAAAGCATAAGTAAGAAAATCATCTTCAAAACTCTGTATTTATTTTTATAAAATATTATTTTAACATAAGCTTTAAGATATAATAAATTATATATCTCTAATTTCTTAAAACACTTTGTTAGCAAAATATTTACTTTACAATATATTCTTCTCGACATCCTATTCCCTACCTGAAATGGGAATGAAATTCTACCCAGATTATCATTCCGATTCAAATCATTTTCACACCTACATGCTGTTATTATGTCAATAGCATTTGACCATGACACATGCTATGTAATGATTTTCACTTTTTTTATCAAATAAATGTATTCATTCTAATTAAAAATAATAAAATAATAAACTTTTATTAATTAAAATAACTAATATTATTTTATAATTGCATACGAAAAATACAAACATTCAATTGAAATTGTTTTCTTGTTTGTGAGAAGTTCAATCATCGATTTAAGAATTTAAAGTATTGATGGTATAATACATCCACCCCTTTCATATTCATAATCGATCCAACGGTTCTTCAAGTTTCACGTGAAAAAATAAGAGGGATTGCTAACCGCCCCTCGAATATAAGAAATCTCACACAAAATCAAAAATATATTTTAATTATATTTACTCGATATTTAACTTAAAGATTAGAGTTTGTTTCATGTACCAAATTTTCATATAATTGGATGAGTCATATTTCTGATTTCATATCGAGAAAAAAAACAATTCTGATTTCAATTCTCAATTTCTATTATTGAAAAGAAAATCTATCTGATAATTGATTTGTAAGTAAGTATCAATATAATTAACATTAAAAAATACTAGCTTGTATTAATTTGGTAGAATCCTTAAAATTCAAATTTCAAAATCAACACATTATTTTATTGACAACCACTTATGAAATTCAAGGTTAGAGAAAAACATCATACCTTTAACAAACAGTGGTTGTCGCCAGCTAAACAACAATGAATGATAAGTTTTTACCATGCGCATTTTCTAAATGTACTTGATTAACAAACTTTAATCATAAAGTCTCACCAGCTTGAAAATGAAAACAATCCACATTTGCAAATAAATCATGCTTTTCCTCTACTCACAAATCAAATGCATTAACTAATTGAAATACCTATTCATGGAACTTCCACACATCAAACATGTTCCTAAGCACAAGACTTTCACATTATTGTTTTTGTTGTTCATACTTGCAAATTGTGGTGTCTCTTTTCCTTCTGAACCTCAAGGTATGTCTATAACCGGCACGAGTCAGAACTCATATAGTTACATTCAATTATTTTTATTATCAAAAAATTAAAATGTATAGTCTGATTTTTTGTGTCTGTAACGTATTTGGTCTTTGACATGTGTCAGTGTCTAAAACCAGCACGAAACAGACTTATCTATCTAATTTTGTGTTTATGTCTGTTTCTCATAACTGCCTTTGAGAGGTTTGCATTTTCTATAAACTTGAAACATGGTTTTGACATTTTATTGAATTTTCCACAATGTAGGTAAAAGACAATGGAACATGACTTCAAATGTTGAAGAAGTAGCAGGAAAATCATATGACTACATCATAGTTGGAGGAGGAACAAGTGGGTGTCCATTAGCTGCAACATTATCACATAATTTTTCTGTGCTACTCATAGAAAGAGGTGGTTCACCATATGGAAATCCCTTGGTGATTGACAGAAGATACTATGGTTTTCCATTGCTTCAAAAGGACAACCACCATATGACAGTAGCACAACGATTCACCTCCCAAGATGGTGTTAGCAATGTAAGAGGAAGAGTTCTCGGTGGATCATCAGCTATAAACGGTGGATTTTATAGTCGAGCGAGTGATGAGTTTGTCGATAAAGTTGGTTGGGATAAGATGTTAGTTAAAGAAGCTTACGAATGGGTTGAATCGAAAGTTGTTTTTCCTCCATATTTCCTCACACCATGGCAATCTGTTGCTGAGTTTAGTCTTCTTGAAACAGGAATTTTACCTTATAATGGTTATAGTTTGGAACATCTCAAAGGAACTAAGATTTCTGGGAGTGTGTTTGATGGATTTGGACAGAGACACACCTCGGCTGATCTTCTCGAGGCAGGAAATCCGCAGAATCTCACTGTTCTTGTGAATGCCACAGTTAAGAGTGTCATATTTCATCATAATGGTATGTAGAAGAAAATTAAAAACTTGCCTACTTGTAATATGTGCATTGTTATAAGCAACAGATTCGTAATTGCATTGCAACCACACCGTCTTTTAGACCGTGCAAGACAGACTATCGTACACAATGGTTAAATAGATCACTGCAATTAACGTACAACAAACCTCGAGACGGCTCTGATTGCAACTATAATTGTGTCATCATCAATTTACATTGTAACTGCAGCACACAACCATAATTTAAAACCTTGAACAAGTAGCATTAGCTTTTTTAGATTTACAATTGAGTTTTCACACTTTTTAATTTTGACCACTCAAATATTGTAGGTGACAAGAGTGAAACTAGTGCCAAGGGAATCAAATTCATCAAGAGTAATGGAAGCTTAGATGAAACCTATGAAGCCTACATCAAGAAACCAAAAAACTCAACTTCAAGAGGTGATGTGATATTATCAGCAGGTGCATTAGGTAGCCCTCAAATTTTGCTGCTAAGTGGCATAGGACCAAAAGAACAATTGAAAAGCTTCAACATTCCATTAGTTCATGAAATGAAAGAGGTTGGTCAAGGAATGCAAGACAATCCTTGCATAGCAATCTTGGTTGATTCCAAGCCAGAAAACAGGCTTCCCGATCCGCCACAAATTGCAGGCATAACAGAAGACTTCAAAATCATAATCGAAGCGTCAATCCTTCCCTTAAGCATCAATGAATCAAGGGTTAACATTGCTGCAAAGATAGCTATGCCATTTTCAAAAGGATATCTTGAACTAAACAACACTGATCCAAACCTTAACCCTTCTGTGAAATTCAACTATCTCGAAAATGAAAACGATATGCAAGAATGTGTTAAGATGACGAAACTACTAAATCGAATTGCGAGGTCGAAGTCTATCGCGTTTTTCCTTGGTGAGTCAGGGCAAAACAAGTTGGCATCTACTGAGATTGATTTGAGAAAGTTTTGCAAGAAGAATGTGAGAACTATTTATCACTATCATGGTGGCTGCAGTGTTGGGTCGGTTGTTGATAAGAACTACAAAGTTTATGGTATAAAGGGATTAAGGGTATTGGATGGCTCAACTTTTTCTGAGTCACCAGGTACAAATCCTATGGCTACACTCTTGATGCTAGGAAGGTATCAAGGACTCAAGATTTTACAAGAAAGGGAAGCATATTCTTGTTAGAATGTCAAAGAAAACATAATATTAAATTCTTTGTTAACTGTGTGCAAAAACAAGACATCATTTAGGACTAAGAAAATTCTCTACTTTTTGTTTACATTGTAAATTTGTCGTTCGCAATGACCGCAGTCACAACATCGGTAGCACAATTTAAAACCATGTTTAGAAGTAAAGAATTGCAAGATAAGTAAGCAAAATATCATATTATTTATTCCCACATGTAAAAACAAAATTCTTGCATTTGAGCCCTATACATATACATCAACAAATTGAAAAACATTATCCTAACGAAACAAAAAACAAATCAATTCCCAGTCTCGTCACCATCTGTAGGGCTTGATGAAGAATCATTTGAATCACCACCAGAAGTGACTTGATTTTGATCATGATTTCCCCTATCCCTCCTACTAATAGAAAAACTGACCCAAACTTCACCACCAACCCTCCTTCTCTCTCCACCTTCTTCTGCTTCTTCCTCTTCGTCAATTTTCTTTCCCTCATCTTTCTCATCAGCAGGCATCTGATGCCTACAAACAGGACAAGACCCATGAATCCCTAACCACTTCTCAATACAGTTACCATGAAACCTATGCTTACAAGGCATTTCTTTAACAACTCCACCAACCTCAAACTCTTCCAAACAAACAACACACTCTCCGTGATCGCTTTCTTCAATTTCAACCCTTTTCATAGCTTCTATCGACTCCTTTGAAGCTGGTGGCTGACCCTTCTTTGTAGTATTTTCGAGTTCCTGAAACAGGGTTTCGAGACTTGATACTCCTTCCACTATAATCATTCGCTGTGTGGAAGGGTTCACCAAGATGATTCTTTGACGGTTGGAATCTTCGGAATCTTCGGAATCTTCGTTACTCGACGATTCTTGATCTAGGTTGCGGTCGGTGTTTCTTCGAGTTGAAGCGGCGGAAGAAAGACCTTGGATGAAGGGTAACAAGAGAGACATGTCTCTGTTTCTGATCATTCTTTCGAAGATATACGAAAGTTCGGAATTTTCACCTTCGGAAGCCATCAAATCAAATCAAATCAATTCAAATGAAAAACTTTTGTGTGAGAGACAAGAGAATGAAGAGAAAAGGTAAAAATGAGATGAATAAATATAGCGTGAAAAGAACATTGTAGAAGGGTCTCGAACGTTGTTTAGTTACTACTAATACAGAACATTCTTGACTTTAGTATAACAAAGAACTCATTTTTCAAATATACTTCTCTTATAAATTATATATAAATTCAGTTTTTTTTTTTTCTTCCAATATTTAACAATTAACATATGTAATTTATATATGAATAACGTACATTAAACGTTAAATGTATTAAAAAAATGATGATTTATTTATAATTTATTTTAGAGGAAGTAAGAGTATTGAGTAATTAATATATTTAAATTATATATATAATTAAAATATATTAATTATTTAATTTTAAAAAAAGAAATTATTTTTTATAATAAGGATTAGAAAGAGTGTTTGATAAGACTATAAAAAAAACTTTTATTTTGTGTGATTCAAAATTATTATCGTTTTAGTAAATAAATTTTATTTTAAAATAATTGTCATTTTTATTTTTCAATATAGTAATTGTTCTGGACTGGGCCCGACAGGCCCAAAAGCATTACTACGGCCCAATCCAAAAGGACTTACGGAGGTCCACGCCGAGCAAAGGGGTCACATCCGTGCCCGACATCTTGACGTCCAGCTCGACATCCCACTGTCCAACTCCAAGCGATGATGTCCAGCTCCACCTCTTGACGTCCAGCTCGACATCCTGACGCCCAGCTCGACACCCTGTCGTCCAGCTCGACGCCTTGCTGTCCAGCTCGACGTTGTCTCGAGCATCCCAACTAGGGCAGACTCAGTCCACCGTTCCCCCAACGATACTCCGGAAAGACCGCGTCTTCGTCCGCCCGCACTTCACGCAGCACATCCAGGAAGGGGACCACGTGCGGGTCCCCACTACCCACGTAGAACCTGGCAGTTCCTCCATTGGGCCAAATCCGCCCGGCCCAATGAAGGGACCTTGGCCCAGCGCTGGGGGCTATAAATACCCTCTGTTTCCAGAGGGTCAGGTATTCATCATTCTAACCTCAACTTATTATTATCTGCTCGTACTCCTACTTACTTCAGCATCGGAGTGCCTTGCAGGTACCCCCCCCACCTCGTTCAAAAAAGCTTTCTGCTCGGAGCCAGCCGTGACGGTCCAAACCTTCTGATCAGGTCAGATCAGTGGCGCCGTTTGTGGGAAACAGCTTCCCCGTCTAACGAACAATTCCAAAGACCAAAGCTCAATTCAATTACCTGTCATGGCTGATCCAGCTCGTGAAGAGCAGCACGTCCGCGTCACCGACACTAACAACGGTCCCGCGGACAAGAATGGACACCTCGACAATCTCGGTGATCCCGGCCACAATGCCACCCCTGTGACAACCGCCCCTGGACCTTCCTCCCGCAGGGACGGGAACACTGCGTCATCCTCGACGACCCCTCCAGCACTCGAAGACGACCCGGAAGCTCTCGCCTATCGCAGAGCTGCCCGGTTCTATGAAGTCCCAGTTCCTGCCGGGGCAGATGCCACGGCTCAGGCACTGTTCGCGGCCATCAACCAGACAAATTATCTCATATTCGCCCAAGGAGAAAGACTAAGGGCGCTAGAAAATGATCGACGACCCCCGAGGAGGCATCAGAGGCCACCTACTCCACCTTCTCGGGTCGAAGAAGTTCGACACCCTACTCCCCCGCGGAGACACTACAGGGAGAACTCTAGGAGCCCCTCTCCCCGACCAAAGCAGAGGCGGCCCCAATATGAGAGACAGCCCGTCATCCCTACCGAAGAACCCAGTCGCGACCCATCAAGGCACGACAAGAGGCACAACAGAGACCGGCGTGTGACCTTCAACCACCGAGCATCACGCTCGAGGGAATCTCAGCACGACCATCGTGCCAGACACAACTATAGGACCCCTTCTCTTTCTCCGGAGAGGAGCGACGAGGACGACCCCCACGGTCCCCTGTCGCAGGCCATCATGGATGCACCTATCCCCCCGGGCATGGAGAAGCCCCCGCACCTGAAGGAGTATGATGGAGTAGCGGACCCAGTCGACCACATTGACGGGTTCGAAGCCATGCTCCACTATCATAATGTCGGGGGGCCCATCAAGTGCCGTCTCTTCCCCACAACTCTCAGGAAGGCGGCCATGGACTGGTATAAAGGACTCGCCCCGGGCTCCATTACCTCGTGGCGGAACCTGAAGAACCAGTTCATCAGTTCCTTCACAGCTTCTCGGCGCCACCCGAAGACCGAGGCGGCCCTCGAGGCCATCATCCAAAGACAGGATGAAACCTTGAGGGAATTCATCAACCGCTTCAACCGGGAAGCAATACAGGTCCCCTGCGCGGACCATATGAAAAGATATTTGCTGGAGAGGGGCCTCCTCCCCGGCACAGAATTCAGAAAAGCTGTGGGTATTGAGCCACCTGCAACTTTTGATGCTCTCCTCGACAAAGCCCGAGCATACATGGACTACGAGGAGAGAGAAGCTGCCAACAGGGCACGAGACTCCAGGGCTCGCAATCATAGCAGCAGCTCGAGACAAGACCCTCCTCCCCGACGTACCGGAGAGAAGAGGAAGGAAGATCGACCCCGGGAGGTCCGGGAACAAAGGGGCCCCTCGGGCCGTTTCACCGAGTACACTCCGCTCACAGCTTCCCGCGAGCGTATTTTGGCGGAGTGTGCTAGCACAGATTTTAAAGACGGTGGCGTCAAGCGTCCCCGGCCAGCTCCTGCCAAGCCAGGGGTAGACAAAAATAAATACTGTCAATACCATAGGAGCCATGGTCATTTGACAGAGGACTGCGTCCACCTCAAGGACGCCATCGAAACCCTCATCAAAGGAGGGAGGCTCGCACAGTACAGGCGAAACGACGCTCCCCGTCGCGACGCCCATGAAGCTAAGGAGCCCGAAGAAGATGCCCGACCATCTGACGAGTCGGTGCCAATCCAAACCGCCTTCTCGGTAATCAGGCCCGAGGATTTCGAAATTCCCGAGCTCCTGCAGGAGCCCCTGACGACACACAGCAGGTGGGAATACTTTCCCTCCGCCATGGTCATCAACGGGGGCGGGTTCAACGACCTCACCATCAATTCAGCCAAGAGGAAGTTGGACGAACTGGTCGACGCAGCTCCTCCACAAACTGTGACTTTCGAAAGAGTGAAGGGCAGATTAGAGCCCATCACCTTCTACTTAGAAGAGCTCCCCGGCGGAGCCCCGAACGCAGTCATCCCCTTGCTGATAAGGGCAAAGATGGCCAATTTTGACGTGCATCGCATCCTGGTCGACGAAGGGAGTTCCGTCGACGTGATGTACAGCCAGCTGTTCCGGACCTTGCAACTGGACGACTCACACCTCTCTCCGTATGTGGGTTCAGACCTTCAAGGCTTCAACGGCTCGACTTCCAAACCTTGGGGTTATGTCGAGCTCCTCGTGACGTTCGGGGAAGGAACAGCTACAAGACAGGTGAAGGTCCGCTTCCTCGTCATTGATTGCCCGTCCCTATACAATTGCATTTTGGGGAGGCCGACATTGGCGGAGCTGACAGCGGTGCCCTCAACTGTCCATCTAAAAATGAAGTTCTATACCAAAAGGGCAAGGGTAGCCACCATCCAGGGAGACCTCGCCGCTGCCCGCAGGTGCTTCAACGCCGCTTCAAGGGGACGGGATACCGTCGACGTGGGTACCAGCACCAGACCCATCAAGAAGACAAAGCAAGAGCCCGACAGAGCATCCCCCGAGGTAGAAGTTCAGAAGGCTCCACCAAAGGTCGACTCCATAGCCCTCGACGCCCGCTTCGACCAAGACGAGCCATCCAGCAGCGAGCAAATCCCCCTCCGACCTATTCCGGACGGTGATTTTGAACTCGTTCCCCTCGGAGCAGACCCGACCAAGGGAGTGAAGATTGGCAAAGACCTCCCCGACTTGGCCAGGAAGCAAATCAAGGCCTGTCTGCGCGAGAATGCTGATCTCTTCGCCTGGAGCGCTGCAGAGATGCCCGGACTCGACCCTGAGGTCGCCTGTCATCACCTCGCCATTGATCCAGCCGCCAAGGCCGTAGTACAACGTAGGCGTAAGCAGTCTCCAGAAAAAACGGAGGCTGCTGAAAAAGCTGTAAAAGACCTTAGAGGCAAATTTTATTTCTGAAGCCCGGTACTCCACCTGGCTGTCAAATGTTGTACTTGTTAAAAAGAATAATGGAAAATGGAGAATGTGTGTTGACTATACCGACCTCAACCGGGCTTGCCCGAAGGATGCTTTTCCTCTACCTAACATTGACATGCTGGTCGACAATTCGGCCGGCTACAAGACTTTGTCGTTCATGGACGCCTACTCGGGATACAATCAAATCCCAATGGCCCTGGGCGACAAACGCTGCACGGCGTTCATGACCAGCTCGGGCAACTATTACTACAATGTAATGCCCTTCGGACTGAAGAACGCCGGTGCGACTTACCAACGCATGATGAACAAAGTGTTCAACAAACAGATTGGCGACATGCTCGAGGTATATATGGACGACATGATCGTCAAATCTCGAGCAGACACCGATCACGCAGCTCATCTCAAGACAGTCTTCGCCCAAGCAAGACAGTGCAAAATGAGGTTCAACCCCGAGAAGTGCACGTTTGGGGTTAAGGCAGGAAAATTCCTCGGATTCTATCTAACAGAACGAGGGATTGAAGCCAACCCCGACAAGTGTCGGGCATTCTCCGACCTCCCGACACCAACGTCGAAGAAGTCGATACAGATCATGAACGGCATGTTGACGTCACTATCACACTTCGTCGCGAAGTCCGCTCAACACGCCCTTCCCTTCTTCAAACTCCTTCGAAAGGAAGCAGCCTTCGAATGGACCGAGGAATGCGAACACGCACTTCGCCATCTGAAGCAGAGCCTGTCTCAACCGCCCGTGTTGTCTCGACCAGATGACGACGAACCACTATACCTATACTTGGCAGTTTCAA